TACCGCAATGGCCTCTTCACCCCCCCCCCTCAAAACCAATCATGGTCGAGCCTCGGGGCCAAGCTTCTACCTGTGCTTCACGAAATGCCGAACACCCAGCCAATTGTTTCATGTTAATAGCACCTCAACTCGTGACGATCTGTCGTGACCTGCTGGAAAGACGCTCGCTTAATAATCTAAATTGTCTAGGTTCGATTCCCAGCTGGCACAAACGCTTTTTTACCGCGATGGCCTCTTCACCCCCCCCCCCCCCTCAGAACCAATCATGGTCGAGCCTCGGGGCCAAGCTTTTATCTGGGCTTCACAAAATGCCGAACACCCAGCCAATCGTTTCATGTTAATAGCACCTCAACTCGTGACAATCTGTTGTGACCTGCTGGAAAGACGCTCATTTAATAATCTAAATTGTCTAGGTTCGATTCTCGCCTGGCACAAACGCTTTTTTACCGCGATGGCCTCTTCACCCCCCCCCCTCAAAACCAATCATGGTCGAGCCTCGGGGCCAAGCTTTTATCTGGGCTTCACGAAATGCCGAACACCCAGCCAATCGTTTCATGTTAATAGCACCTCAACTCGTGGCGATCTGTCGTGACCTGCTGGAAAGACGCTCGCTTAATAATCTAAATTGTCTAGGTTCGATTCCCGCCTGGCACAAACGCTTTTTTACCGCGATGGCCTCTTCACCCCCCCCCCCCCCCTCAAAACCAATCATGGTCGAGGCTCGGGGCCAAGCTTCTATCTGTGCTTCCCGAAATGCCAAACACCCAGCCAATCGTTTCATGTTAATAGCACCTCAACTCGCGGCGATCTGTCGTGACCTGCTGGAAAGACGCTCGCTTAATAATCTAAATTGTCTAGGTTCGATTCCCGCCTGGCACAAACGCTTTTTTACTGCGATGGCCTCGTCACCCCCCCCCCCCCCTCAAAACCAATCATGGTCGAGCCTCGGGGCCAAGCTTTTATCTGGGCTTCACGAAATGCCGAACACCCAGCCAATCGTTTCATGTTAATAGCACCTCAACTCGCGACGATCTGTCGTGACCTGCTGGAAAGACGCTCGCTTAATAATCTAAATTGTCTAGGTTTGATTCCCGCCTGGCAAAAACGCTTTTTTACCGCGATGGCCTCGTCACCCCCCCCCCTCAAAACCAATCATGGTCGAGCCTCGGGGCCAAGCTTTTATCTGGGCTTCACGAAATGCCGAACACCCAGCCAATCGTTTCATGTTAATAGCACCTCAACTCGTGACGATCTGTCGTGACCTGCTGGAAAAACGCTCGCTTAATAATCTAAATTGTCTAGGTTCGATTCCCGCCTGGCACAAACGCTATTTACTGCGATGGCCTCTTCACCCCCCCCCCCCCTCAAAGCCAATCATGGTCGAGCCTCGGGGCCAAGCTTTTATCCGGGCTTCACGAAATGCCGAACACCCAGCCAATCGTTTCATGTTAATAGCACCTCAACTCGTGACGATCTGTCGTGACCTGCTGGAAAAACGCTCGCTTAATAATCTAAATTGTCTAGGTTCGATTCCCGCCTGGCACAAACGCTTTTTACTGCGATGGCCTCTTCACCCCCCCCCCTCAAAGCCAATCATGGTCGAGCCTCGGGGCCAAGCTTTTATCCGGGCTTCACGAAATGCCAAACACCCAGCCAATCGTTTCATGTCAATAGCACCTCAACTCGTGACGATCTGTCATGACCTGCTGGAAAGACGCTCGCTTAATAAACTAAATTGTCTAGGTTCGATTCCCGCCTGGCACAAACGCTTTTTTACCGCAATGACCTCTTCACCCCCCCACCCTTAAGACCAATCATGGTCGAGCCTTGGGGCCAAGCTTTTATCTGGGCTTCACGAAATGCCGAACACCCAGCCAATTGTTTCATGTTAATAGCACCTCAACTCGCGGCGATCTGTCGTGACCTGCTGGAAAGACGCTCGCTTAATAATCTAAATTGTCTAGGTTCGATTCCTGCCTGGCACAAACGCTTTTTTACCGCGATGACCTCTTCACCCCCCCCCACCCTTAAAACCAATCATGGTCGAGCCTTGGGGCCAAGCTTTTATCTGGGCTTCACGAAATGCCGAACACCCAGCCAATCGTTTCATGTTAATAGCACCTCAACTCGTGACGATCTGTCGTGACCTGCTGGAAAGACGCTCGCTTGATAATCTAAATTGTCTAGGTTCGATTCCCGCCTGGCACAAACGCTTTTTTACCGCGATGACCTCTTTACCCCCCCCCCCCCGTTAAAACCAATCATGGTCGAGCCTTGGGGCCAAGCTTTTATCTGGGCTTCACGAAATGCCGAACACCCAGCCAATCGTTTCATGTTAATAGCACCTCAACTCGTGACGATCTGTCGTGACCTGCTGGAAAGACGCTCGCTTAATAATCTAAATTGTCTAGGTTCGACTCCTGCCTGGCACAAACGCTTTTTTACTGCGATGGCCTCTTCACCCCCCCCCCCCTCAAAACCAATCATGGTCGAGCCTTGGGGCCAAGCTTTTATCTGGGCTTCACGAAATGCCAAACACCTAGCCAAAGAAGGTAGCACGTTAAAACTGTCTGCAGACACGTTTGAAGCATACGTACGATGCAAACATGCTTCGAAGACACTCGAGGGTGTCTGCAGATACCGTAAAATCCTGAAATAGCGCCCACACTCGATAGATCGCCCACTCCGCTTTTATGTTCGAACACGTGTTTCCCTCGAATACTGATAGGTCGCCCACCTTCCAAAAATAGCGATGCCCGAAGGTTGAGAAAAGTGCCGGAGGGTAGGGGAGAAGGTTTGGAAAGCCTAGGATTCCCTTCACAAAAAGAAGAGGCCACACACAATAAGGGAGATAAGATAACGGAAGGAACCCGGAAAGTGGTCAAGGTCACTTATTTAATGACATCAGGAAAGCGTTGAAGGTCACTTAGTGGTTGTCGTCAGATCGCCCGACAACCCCAGAAAATCTTTTGACCAGCAAACTGTGAAGACGTTTCTTGTGTATACTCGGGATAAGGTCCAGCTATACCATCCCGAAGAAAGTGGAAGTCGTGGAATGGCACCGCAAGAACGGAGCTAACGTGAGCAAGACTGCGCGCCATTTCGAAGTTGACCGGAAGCGTGTACGGGAATGGAATACGAGCTACCAAGTACTTCTACAACAATGCCATGGAACGAACAAGTTGAAGAGAGCAATAGGTAGGGGACGACCCGTTTTTAGTGAAGAAATCGACGACGCACTGATGGACTTCCTGGAGACTGAGAGATCCGCCGGTCGAGCAGTCAGCAATCGCCTGCTTCAAGAGCATGCGCGGAAACTGGCAGGACAGATGGGCCTAGGAAACTTCCAAGCGTCATGCCAGTACATAGCTAACTGGAAGAAGCGATTTAATGTGTCTATGCGGGTGGGGACCAACGAAAGTCAGAAGCTGCCTGCCGACTACGTTGAAGCAATTACGGTGTTCTGAAAGGCTGTGTCAACTCTGCGCCTGGAGCACAACTACTCGGACTACAACATAGCCAACATGGATCAGACTATGGTCCGGATGGATTGCCCTGCTGCGAGAACCAACAATGCTGTCGGCGAGTCGAGTATTCGCATCGCCAACACCAGCTCTGCTCGGCGAGGGATGACGGTGGCCTTGTGCGCGACGGCAGCGGGCATCAAGCTACCTGCTTTGATCGTACTGAAGGAGCCAACCGGCCGGATCCCCCCGGAGTACTCTTTTCTCTAAGGATTCCAGGTATGTTGTAATTAATCACCATTCAGGGTATAAATGTCGAAACAAAGCCTTAGAAATACGTAAAAATAAGGCTGACAGCATTTTTTTTTTTAAATAGAGCGACTGTTGCGTCATCCATTGACAAAACGCCACAGCCCGTTTTGTTTTGTATCGCCCCATTTCCGAAAGATGGCGTAGCCGTTCTGGCCGGCGCCATCTTGAGCGCACGAGCAGTTGGCGCGTGACTTGCTGGCTTTCCAAAGGTTACTCACGTGCGCGTGCTTCGGCGCTCGGCCATAAAATCGGGCAGTTCGCATATCTTCACTCATCGGCGTAGCATGTGTAATGTGCGTTTGGGGCCCGAACTGTTATTTCATGTTATACTTGTTGTACTTGCAGCAAATGTGCGAGTTACTTCTTCCAAGAACGGTTGGATGACCTCTCCCGTCCTACTGGAGTGGACTAGGAGAGTTTGGGGCCCGAACGCCGACGACGTGAGGAGACTGCTCATACTGGACCAAGCACCCATACACAAGACAGGCGGCCTGAGAAGCGCTCGACGCAAAAGACACCGACGTCGTCTTGATACTGAGCGGTTGCACGTCCATTTTGCAACCCGCGGACGTCTCATGGATGAAGCCCTTCAAGGACGCGCTGCGTGGAATTTGGGCATCGTTCTTCCGGAAAGGTTCGGTGACTCCAAAGGGCAACCTTCGCAAGCCGTCGCGTCAAGAGGTTGTGGACTTCGTGGCTCAGGCGTGGGCCTCCGTCTCTGAGGATACCGTGCGGAGTTCGTTCAAACGGTGCGGAATATCCACAAGGCTCGATGGTTCCGAGGACGGCGAGCTCAACGACCGTTTGGCTTCGGTAACCAATGGACCCGAGGATCCCGAGAGCCTCATTGACGAGGCGATTTAATCTTCGATAGCGAAAGCGATGTGTCGTTTGACGGTTTCAGCAATGAGAGCTAGGGAAACCCACGCTGCTTTGGCGCACGCGTTACTCGAGTTTTGTTTGTGATTTTGGTTTTTAAATACTGAAAGATCGCCCACCCCACTTTTTTGGCCAATTATCTACGGCGAAAAGGGGGGCGTTAATTCAGGATTTTACGGTAGGTCCGTCATTGTGTTTGCGGCAAACACTGCGTTTTTTGTATGGTGCATTAACAGTGTGACGGCAGCTTTACAAAAGTTAAATCGACATTCGGGCGGCCAGACGGTGCCGAATTTCAAAAAGGTTTTGACCGGGCTGTGCCTGCGAGGGAAGTCCGTCCCTTACCCTTAGCTGGGCGGCCTCGGACACCAGACGGTCCCGCTCTTCCAGCACGGCCTTGAGCCGTCCCAGAGCAACGGCGCACTCCAGGCAGGAAGTCGGGGCCGGAGAGGGTTGCTCGGCCCCGGACGGCCCTCCCTCCTTCCCGGCCACTTCCAGGGAGTCTGTTGCCTGGAGAGGGAAAGGCCGTCGTTTCAAGGAATGCATTTGGTTTCGGGCCTCCAGATTTCCCAAAAGTTAAAAAAAGGCAGACCTTAATCAGATAAAGATTTAACCCAAAGGCATGAAATGTTTCCATTAATGATGTGGCAGCCATGCCAAGCTAGGACGCGAGTATTGTAAACTTTCGTTAGTTCGACCTCGGTTAATTCAACTTTTCGTTCAATTCGATCGTGTTCAAAAGTCCCAGCGAGCGCCCATCCATTTCTCTAAGAAGAAAAGTTTGATAGTTTGAACTCGGGACGACTCCGCATCGGATAATTCGTCCCGAGCGAATGCGCGCGGGCTCACGTTGCTCGGAACCACGGTAGAAAAACCACCAAAGTACGACGAAACACGGGCCCTTTGCTGCAAAACTGAACGTGTGCAAATATGCGCCTGCTCCTCTACACTGTTGAGATGGTCCAGCGAGGAGAACATAGCCCGTGGTCGGGCGCGGAGACAGCGCGCACACTCTCAGAGCGCTCTGGAGCATCGTGTGCAATCTATGTTGCGTGCCGGAAAACGCAAGTTCTCTGTTCCTTTTATTTATTTTTTCTCTGTCACCGACAATTTGGTTGCCCGGTGCCAAAGTTGGCTCGTAAAGCTTGCTCAGCGCGAGCTCTCAAAGCGCTTTTCTGTAGAATCACGTGCAGTCCATCCTGCACGCCGGAAAATGCAAATTCTATTTTCCTTTTTGTATTTTTATTTTTCTTTGTTGCCGACGGTCTGGCTGCCTGGCACCAAAGTTGGCTCATAAAACATTCTTTTTTCGTTTTCGGGGGTGTGACGTTTAGTTACACTGCTCTCCAGAGCATGCTTTTGCACACACGTTTTAAGCGCAGACGGCAGCAGGCCATTTCTGAGTTTTTTGGACAATAAAAGGAAGTTTAATTTTAACCGTTTTTCTGTCCTTTTTTTAATTCAATCATTCAAATAATTGAACCAGATTTCAAGGTCCCGTTGAGGTTGAATTAACGAAAGTTTACTGTATTCCCGGCGCTGCATGTGACGCAGCCGGGGCCACAAAGACGCACAATGCCGAAGCGTGGCCTCGACAAAGCCTTACGGTGTGTCTCGAACCAAGAGGTGGACTTGACTCGAAAGCCGACCAACTCTAAGGCAGCTTTCCTAAATGCTTTTTTGACGTTGACGGACGAGGTGACAGGCTTCCACGGCGACCGCAGCTATGACAAGCTGTAGTCGGTCGTATTTGACGAATTCGGAGGAAGCTTCTCTTTCCACTTTAGAAGAGCAAATGCTGGAGAGGAGGTTGCCCTTTCTCCAGCGTTTGCTCTGCTAAAGTAGAAGGAGGAGCTTCCCCCGGACTCTTAAAATACCACCGACTACAGTTCCTAGCAAGCTCCCACGTGTGTATTGCATCGTGGAACGCAAACTTCTGCCTGCAATAGGAGGTATCAGTTCCCGGGACAGCGAGTCTATAGTGGGTTCTCACACGTATATCATACCACGGAACCCAAGGCCCGTGCGACTGTGTCCTGCTCTATCAACTTCTATGAGTGCACATAGTGGTGGGTTCCCATGCGTTTAAAGCACCGCGACGCGTGATGTAGCCCTCTCTTCGATCTGCAATATCAACTCCCATGTCATGTGGGTTCATAGGAATATCCCTGAGTGTTTATAGCTCACATCCAATAAATCTTTGCCATTGATCCTCATAAATCGTCCATCCAATACTCTTTACCATCTATCTCTTCACCAGGGGGCCATTCAAACATGATTTTACGGCAAGTTAAGGCAACAATGTATCCAAGTTACAGTTTGAGGCTTAAACCTCTCTGTAACTCACAAAACTTTCGTTACCGGATGCACCCCTGGTTAGTGTAACCTGAATACCTTATATCAGTCCCTCTAAAGCCGATTTCAAGTTAATGGCTGTGTTGGAACTTCCGCGAGGACGGCATCGGATTCCCTCTACGGAGAGGATGCACGCGAGGTGCGAGCTGAACCTTACACCACGGCTTGCCTCGGCGGAAACGATTTAGGATCGCGCGCAGGGGGCGAGCTGTAAACTTCGTACCCGCAGCAGCCGGATGCAGCCGTGAAGATCAACAGCTCGGAAAGTGGAGACGGACAGAACGAAAGCTGGAACGCAAGCGAGCGGAGAACGAGAAAGTGGCTCGTCTGTTTGGAACGTGTGTGGAGTGTGTGTAGTTTAAAATAAAAGTGTTGGGGTTTGTTGAAACTGATTGATATCTCGGAACACCAAGAAGCAACAATTCCCTCAACAGGCTGCATACATGAGAATGCGGGAGTATGCACGGTGTATCGGTGTCAAGCAAGCACACTCAATGGTACCCACTTGCAACTTGAGAGAGGCCAACTGCTTTTCCAGGACTGCCACTTTTTCCCGGTGACTGGAACACTCTTCGCGGCATACGTCGAGGGCTTGCTCCGCTCGGCGTTGCTTCTCCACAGCCTACGGGAGCGGATAGAAAAGCAAACGATGCAACGTAAACGGCTCATCCATCGTGCAAGTCTGGCTTTGGAGAGTTAGTTTGCTCCTTTTCAGTCAACTTCTTCCCCCAGACTTTCAGTAGCAGTGGCAAGAAACGAGGCAGGAGATGCACTGCGGCCACTTTGTTCCCTTACAGCTAAAGGATAACTTCAGTCAAACAAATATGTCAAGGTCTGGATACAACGAGAAAGTCTCTAGGATTTCAGTTGTGTCCAAAAAAAAAAACAAAAACAGAAGAATAACCGAGAAAAACTATTTTCGAATTCGCCTCTCTGAAGTGGCAGGTTCAGTTAGCCACACTTGTTTTGTGCAGGACATGCCAGGCTTTGCATGGTTCCCACTCTCTGCGCCTGCGTGGTGATTGGAACGGCTAGATACAGTCTTTTGTTTTTTTGCACCTTGACTGCCCAATTCAAAGGGCTAGGTCATCGTAATCCAATCCAAGGAAATAGGGAAAACAAAACAAAAGGAAAAATAGCAGCATGCAGATGCAGGAGAAAACAGTTTGAAAGCCTATGTGTCCACATAGAAGTGACACACATACCGTATTTGCACGAGTATAACGCAACCACGAATATAACGCGAGGGCAGGTATTGAAGTCTTTAAAAAGAAAAAAGGAATTATTACTAATATAACGCAAACGTAAAGTTACCACACTTGAGGGCATAGCAGAAGCAAAAAGGGGACGAAAATTGGGAAAATATTATGTACAATATGACTGCACACATCATCACTCCTCAGCTCCTTCGCACTATCACATTCGACACTTCGGAGATGTGTTTGTCTCAGTTTCCTTTTCTTGGGCATGAGCACCTTATCCACAAGCCATTCCTCGTGAACTACGGCGCACTGTGTCAGGTCGGTCGGTTTACGAAGCGCACAAAGTATAAACACCAACGCACAAATGCAGGAACACTCTCGAGCAGAAACTAAAAAGTGCACAGGCGGAACAAAGACTGCTGGAAGCAATACACGATCGTTCAAGCCCTCGCTACGGCCCCATCACATAAACAAAAACCTCATGTTTCACGATGGCGTAAACATAACCAGCGGTCTTAACTGCTCGACCGTGTGTCTGAACATGGCCCGGCTTGGCTCGAGTCGGCCACTGTCCTGTGCACTGGTGTAGCGCACCAAGTTTTTGCATTGTGTGCGTCGCACGAAGAGGAAAACGACGAAGAATGCTTTCAACAATCTCTAATTGTCCCCTTATGTGGTGCAAGAGTAACTTTCTTCCATACAGCCCCGTTTCTTTTCGCACCCAATTCTCCGCATTCAGTCAAAGGGACGGCTTTCTCCCGACTCGCACGTCTTGTGGCTGAACTCCATTTCGAATACAACGCGAGGCGTGTTTTAAAACGCGTAATCTCGGAAATAAATTAGCATTATACTCGCTCAATATAATAACTTTAGCTCCCAAATTTATATTTGAGCATCCACTTTCTCAACGCAACGGTACACAGCGGGTTACAAGGGAGTTGGAAAGGCAGTCACCTCCGCCACTTCCTTGCGGACGCCGTCGATGTACTCCAAGTTGGACTTGTGCTTCTTCTGCATTTCCTCCATGCAGTCTTTGCCCTCTGCCAAGATCTGCAATGACGAGACAACCTCCTGAGAATGTTTCAACGTTTTCTAATCGTCCCTTTATGTGGCGCAAGAGTAACTTTCCTCCCTGCAGCCCCGTTTCTTTTCGCACCCAATTCTCCGCATTCAGTCGGCGATTTTTTGAGCTACCTCAACTAACTATATTTTCTGACTCCCCGGCCTTTACCCTTTCCGGTATGCTATTTAGTATCGTGAAATTCATAATAGTTATTGCGAAATCGGCAAATGAAAAATGATGCGAAAACCGACATTCAAATATACCCGCACTTTTCAGTGCCGTGACATCAGTGGCAGAAAGGCCTGCCAGTCAAGCAAGCAGTCTAGAAAATAGAATACGCCAATCATTTGTTCTGTGCTGGAGCGCAGGTACTGCAGCGAGCTTCCAATGCATTCATTTGATACCATGAAACTGCTTGTAATCACTTGGGAACAAAATCTACAGACCAAAAAGTGAACCCATGCCTTCCACTGGCATCACTTTTTTGTTGTTGCCAGTTGAGACTTTCAGTTTAAAAAACAAAGTGGGGACCAAAATTGTAAAGCCAATAACTTTGTTAAAAAAAAAACAATATTTTGACCTAATATTTGGGATATATCTTAGCAATGTTTGTTGGTGAGTTTAGGAAAATTTCAAGCAAACTGGGGGCCACGAAGAATTCGCCGGAGCACCGCTTTAAAGGGTGACAGGCCTAAATTTCAAATATTTTTTAAAAAGCTCATTTTTCAATTTGAAATTTTTGGTTTCAGAAACTAATTATACATCCTTACACTAAATTTGATAACAATACGCCAAATAGTTACGTTGATACAAAATATTTTCAACACATTGTGAGGCAGTAACAAAGTAAGGGAGTTCAAAGTTTGAATGCATTTTTCTCAGTTCCACTTTTTGCTGCAAATTTGATACAAAAGAATCTTTTGTTCGAAGGTAAAAGTATTCTTATACCACAATGAAGATGTTTCTGAACTAAAATTTGGTGGGGAATCGGGCTACCTACTTTATTTTGTTTTAAGTTGAAGTTCTCATTGAGGAAAAAAACATGTTTTCAAAAAATGACATAGAGAAATATGCATCTCATATTTTGAGGTAATAACTCTTCCCGAAATATTTACATTTTAGTTATAAAAACAAGATATCCCAAAGTAACACATCCCCCCACTTTATATTCAAGCAGTCGAAATAGTGCTTAATAGCTTCATTTGCATATTATAGATTTCTTTACAAAAAGTGACACATCTTATCCGTGTATGTAAAATCGTCCTACAGAACTGAAAGTTTGCACAATAAACATGCATCCGATGTTAAATGTCCCCAGCGAATTTCATGCCGATCGCTTGAGTAGTTCAGAAGTTAAGCCTCTAGCCAGTGTCCCCATTAACCCTTAACTCCGGTCAGACACGTTACGGGCACCGCAGCAGTACAGTCAGCCGACTGCATGCATCTGGTCTTTCTAGGCCGTAGTCACACTGCACAGCATACAAGGGACACGGTGTTTCCCAGACGTGATGACAGAATTCTGCAGACATAGCACATTCCCAAGCTGCTTCATGTATGCATCGGACACATCTGCAGGCAGTTTTTGTACGACCAACGCGACCGTCACACAGGGAACACCTCAGGCGGAGTCTGAAGACTGTATTTTGTACGACGCACTAGCAGTGCAACCGAGACCGTAGGTTCGACGGAATTCCGTCTGCGCGTGCACACATACAACGAGCTAATTCAACCCTTCGAAGCCCGCGCGTGCGGCGACCACCGACCCTGTTGAGGTGCTCCTTGTACTTGGAGCAGCGCGAGCGCTCCTTCTGCAGCTCCCTCTCCAGCCGCTCCTTTTCCTGCTCTGGAGCACTTTCCCGTTGCCCTACTCCGTCGGTCTGCTCCTCGCCGCTGGACTCGTCCGCTTCCTCGACGGAAGGTGCGGCAATCTTGGGGCTCGGCACGCTGCGAGAACGTGAAGGCGGGAGGTTTCATCGATTTCTTTAATCCTGAGGTTCTTCGTTTTGACCATTCTGTTATTCACGAAATTGCCAGAAATGTCAGATTGAAAGAAAGTTTTTAAATTTCACCTTGAAACCCATTTCATTTGAAACTACACTCCTTTTCACCTCAATAACCGTAGTAAAAAAAATTGCAGCTTCTCGCAAAGCATTACTAATTGCCCTCTTCATGCTGAGAATTGAGATATATGTACGCGCATTTCAGATTAAGGCCCGTTCACACTCTTGCGACTGCTTGCGACCTCTTAAACCTGGGTTCCTTAAAACTTCTTAAACCAGAGAACACACTGGCGCCATCTATTGGGAAGCAGTGTAAACTCGGCGGTCCGGCATATTTTTTTTTATTTCTCGCGCAATATCCTTTCTTTTTTGGCTCGAAAAGCTTTTGTCAATGTTGTAAACGAGCCTTTCTATGGGTATTACGCACATTTGACCTCGGAAATCCCGCAAAACCTTCGCTTTTGTGAAATGCAGTTCTAGGGTCACCGCATAGATGGCGCCACAATGTCAGTGTGTTCCCTCATTCTAGAAACATTTAAGAAGTTGTAAGAGATCTCGTCTCTCTCAGTCGTACTCGGTCGCAAGAGTGTGAACGGGCCTTTAGATATATGTTAGTTTATCAAGTTTTACAAGTTTCAAATGTCAAAATCATTGCTTCTGCCTCTAACAGCCATATCTTGTAAGAACTACTTTGTGCGGCGTATGAACACTGAGCAAAACTTCCTTTTTCCTTGAGCTAAAAACGGGTATAGTCCAGTCTCTCGATGAAAAATAAAGCGCCTCTCTCTTTTTTAAAATTATGGCTGCTGAACTTTCTGCGGCATTAGGCCAATGTACGGGAGACACTGGCGATTTTGAGTAGATAAAAAGAGCCGCCTTAATGTCTCTTCAAAAAGCGACCTCTGTGTCAGGCATATCGCAATAAAATCTGACTGGGTTACGGTGATATCAAACCCTTGACAGTAATGTGAATGAAATTATCTATTAAGGCAGGAACTGTGCAACACTAGTGAAGTCCCAGCCAAAGTAAGGGTAAAAGAAACCTGCACGAGACAGAAATCGGGTTGCAAAGAAACTGAAGTCAGTTGCATAAAGGTTCCAACTGAAAGGGTCTCTACCCATGAGAGATCATAAAGCAAAAAACCTAAAAGTATTTTTTTTTGTCAATGTTGGCAGGCTCTATTTTACTATTCTCTATATTGCTTTTAAAAGCTGAAGAGTGTGTCTTGATCACTGGTTTCAGCCTCTGCATCTGTGATTGAGGAATAATTAAAAGCAAAGAGAACTAAAATTGGATATATAGTTTACAAAATACACCCTGCACAAGCCAACCACAGTAGGCTCACCATAATTCAAACTCAGATATTTCGTACGTCTGCTTAATTCAAACAAATTTCAAAATTTGGGTTATGTTTTCAGTGTATCTATAAGCCGCTTTATTCGAACGCCGTTTTCGTGTAATTCACACTTTTTGTTCACGCAGCCCCGCTGAGCGCGCTTCTTTCCGAGCACCGGCGTACTGCGGAGAGGCAATACCTGCGAAGCTCGCTTCCGCACGTGTTGCTTCTCCGCAGCGCACTGGTGCTCGGCAAGAAGCGCACTCAGCGGGGTTAAAGCAGAGGACACATGAGCAATGAAAATGGGCGTCGCGCAGCAGTTTCCATAGCATCTTGCGCAGACGATGTGATGCGGCGGAATGGCATAGGTTCAGGGTTACAGCGTCCGCGCAAGTTGCTATGGAAACTGCCACATGGCATCCGTTCTCAATGCTCATATGTCTACAATAGACAACGTTATTTGCTGGATGAACAAACTTAATTTTGTTTTGAGGTGTCACGTGCTGTCTAAACGGTCCAAGATAAACAACATTTTTGAGGAATGAATAATCTTATGTCATACATTTCACCAATGTTTCATGTGTGGCATATTTGCTTATGAGTAGTAGGCCAGTGAAGAGGAAATCATCAAATATCTGTTTTGTACGAGTAGCCATCCATACAGCAATCCATAATTTTATTTTGCATCATATTTAGATGAATTTTTCATAATTCAAACAAAATTCGTGGCTTCCAGAAGTTTGAATTAATGAGAGTCTACTGCAGGTGGCAAAAATAAAAAACTGTTTTTAGAAAAATTATGAAGAGGATGATAAACTGTAACCAAGCCTTATAATATATAGGCCTGAAAGTTATTGTAGGTGTTCATGAGCCATATTATCGGAAGGAAACACTGTAAAAGTAATTAAGGTACAATTAAAACAGTTTGAATAGATTTGGTTTTGGTGTAACCTGCCACTGGAAATTAACTGAAAATTTCTCCTCCAAAAGAGAACAAAAATAGACAATGCATTACAAAATGTTTCTGATAGCTTCGCATTAACAGTGATACATCTAGCAGAAAACAAGAATAAAAAGAGCACCCAAAGTTATCTACTTTCAGAATTCTATGTTTTGAAAAACAAAACTAACAACACAAGAATGACTAGGTTGGGTTTAATATTTCAGCTTATAGCTTTCTACTACATTATGGTCATAAAGTAAATTAAAAAAAAATAAAAATCTGAAAACTTTTTTTGGAGTTGCTAGTTGAGAATTTTCTATACCAGTCACATAGGTTTCCGCTCCTACCGCATACGTGCATGATTTGACCACGCCAAAGGCTCCCTTTTTTATTTTTCCTCCTGTTGTGCATTCTTAGTAAGGCGTCAGACATTCCGGAGAACATAAAATAAACTGACAAATTAATGAACTAAATTTTTTTCTTTTTTTGCACGGAATTACACTTTTTAGTGCAAAACCGTGAAACTAAAATAGTGTTTCGAAGTTTCCAGTTGGCACTGTTCCACAGGCAACAACTGCTTCAAACATACTTTTTTTTAACCAAGCTCTTGGCCCTCGTTATGTATCTTTAAAGAATACCAACAAAAAAACGCAATTAGCAACACCAAAATTCTCACGAACACGGCGTGCGAAAGCCAAGTGCATGGCAGGATGTGAGAAGACGACACAAGGAGGAGGTAGTGTGGGTGAAAAGGAAACCGAGGAGGAAGCCCGTTGCCAAGGCAACCATTTGGAGGAGGGACCCCGACAACCAACATGCGGTCAACGGGAGCAGGGATCGTGTGCTGGGTGGAGCCCAGCACACGATCGATACGGCGCATCTACAGAGACGTCCTCAGTGTCCTCCAAAAAGGATAAAAACTACCTTTCGAACACGACCGAGAGAGTGGCATTCAGCTACTCCATACGTAATCTAAAATTCTTAAAATTTGTGCATGTTTAGCTTACAATTACTCATTTGCTGCTAATTTTATATCACTTAAGAACCCAGCCCAGTAAAGAAATTTCATTGGTTGGTTTATTCTACCGTAAAGAATAAAAAAATTGTAATTGTACTTTTACGGTTTTTTGAACTTTCCAACCTGCTTAGATTGCCTTCCATGTCCTTAAAAATGTAGAAGTTCACAAAGTTGCAACATCTGAAAAAAATCTAGCTCCCATGAGTCATGACCATTTCTCTCATTTGTCTATGTACTTCTGCGTGCTGTTTTTCACCATGTCTTGCGTTAACCTACCGGTCCAACACACCAGCTTACCCCCCCCCTGCCTGAGAGCATCCAAACCCGATTTTAACACCCCTATAAAGGCCCGTTCACACTCTTGCGACTGCTTGCGACCTCTTAAACCTGGGTTCCTTAAAACTTCTTAAACCAGAGAACACACTGGCGCCATCTATTGGGAAGCAGTGTAAACTCGGCGGTCCGGCATATTTTTTTTTTATTTCTCGCGCAATAGCCTTTCTTTTTTGGCTCGAAAAGCTTTTGTCAATGTTATAAACGAGCCTTTCTATGGGTATTACGCACATTTGACCTCGAAAATCCCGCAAAACCTTCGCTTTTGTGAAATGCAATTCTAGGGTCACCGCATAGATGGCGCCACAATGTCAGTGTGTTCCCTCATTCTAGAAACATTTAAGAAGTTGTAAGAGATCTCGTCTCTCTCAGTCGTACTCGGTCGCAAGAGTGTGAACGGGCCTTAAGGGAGAATCTCTGCATAGTAAAGACATATATCGAGAACCAAAGAACAAGTCTCGTATTTCTGATACAGGCTTTCGAGACACCGGTACGTAGACGACTTAATTTTTGTGAATTTCAAGGTTTGAAAAATGTGAGAAATTTATCATGCAAATGGACATGACCCCATGGTAATGAATACATAGCATGCTACTCCCAATCGCAAAAATTCGAGTGTGAAAAATATTTCCAAAACCCATACTTCAAAAAATCTCAAAAGCCTATGAAAATAAAGCCGCTTACAGTATACAAAAAAATATAATGTTGCGAAGTTTCTTTTTAAAAAAAAACAACCTTACTTAGAGGGGCCCTATTGTAGCCATATTTCTTGGGAAGGCATCTGCATGGTAGTTGAACAGGAAAGAAAGTAACAAATTGAGATTCTGTATTGGCATATCAAATAAAATTTTAAAAAAGCGTAATTTATAGGGGGCATACAGATAGAAACATTTTCTAATACAATCCAAATACAAATAATGAAAAAAAAAATTGCTCGGAATATCAAATTGATTAAGCACATAATGAAAAATGTAGCAAAAATTTCAGATAGAACATTAGGGTTGGCTTCTCCACCTTTGGAGCTAATATTGTAAGGCAGCTACAGCCTAAAGCCACCCCAAAATGGCATAGTCTAAAGAATTGCGTAAGAACCAATAGTTAGTTCAAAGCTAAATGCAATGACCTACTGCAGTTTAATTAGGAAAAGAAATGCTTTATAAATGTCAGTAAGAAAATGACTAGTATCATTGAATGTAATTTTGCAATAAACTGAGAAAACAAAAAACTACTACGTAGTATGCATTTTTTTTGGGGGGGGGAGGGGCTCTTCTCCAGAATACTATTTTAAGGAACCAACAAAATACAGACCCTCCATTTTGTTAGCTTCTTTCGCTCAAGGCTGGTTTGCACGTTTTTGTTTGAGTGCATTCTCTTGCTCAAGCACAACACATTGGCACCAAGTATCAAGTACCATATATTTTTTACGCATCTTTCTCTCACGGTGGGCTCAAAATAATTCGCATCATCCTCGTGCATCTCGCAAATACTGTAAAAACCATCGGCCTGGTTATCTATACGCAGTTCCAGGGCTACCTGATAGATGTCGCCAGTATGCTACTGTACGTATTCTCTTGACCTAAGTGGTTACAGGAAAATGTAATTCCCCGCTAGATTTAGCAGGGAATCTTTTCCGCTAGATCTAGCGGAGAATTTTTTCCGCTAAATTTCGCAGGAAAAATTTTCTGCTAGATTTAGCGGGGAAAATTTTCCGCTAAATTTAGCAGGGAAATTTTCTTCTAAATTTAGCAGGGAAAATTTCCCGCTAAATTTAGCGGGGAAAATTCTCTTCTAAATTCCGCAGGGAAAATTTTCCGCTAGATTTAGCGGGGAAAATTTTCTGCTAAATTTAGCGGGGAAATTTTCTTCTAAATTTAGCAGGGAAAATTTTCCGCTAGACTTAGCGGGGAAAATTTTCCGCTACATTTAGCGGGGAAAATTTTCTTTAAAATTTCGCGGGGAAAATTTTCTACTAGATTCAGCGGGGAATTTTTTCCGCTAAATTTAGCGGGGAAAACTTTCCCCTAGACTTAGCGGAGAATTTTTTCCACTAAATTTAGCGGGAAAAATTTTCCGCTAAATTTAGCGGGGAAATTTACCCGTCATGCGCTACGCGGTTACAGCAACGGCGACGCTGCTCAAGCCGGAAACGGGCGCCCAAGAGCTGCGCTCTAAAAACATGCGCTAATGACCATGCACGACAAACATAAAACAGACACGGTAACCCTACAGCGAGGGGCAGAAAGAGATGGACAGACACTGAGCTTTGTGTCTGTCCGTCCCTTTTTGTGGCCTCGCTCCGGGGTCTATCCTTAACCAGCTCGCCTCCCTACTTGACCTAAACATAAGATGCAGCCGATGGATGTGCCCACCCATTCACGTGTGGATACGCAGCATGCTGGGTAACTGGACAGAGACGGCCAAACAATTTGAATTGGGGGACGTCTCGTACCACTTAGCGCCAGCACCGTGTTTGACGCCACAATATGCAGCTGTATATTCGCGAAGTGTTGAATAGACAATTCTCTAGTCAAATATGAGTCGAATAGAGTCCATATTTAAAATTTCTAATATCTGCACACCCCCAGTAGTCTACTATACTCGGCATCAACTTCTTGCAGTCCATTGTCAAGGCTAGTGTGGCTTAAAAGAGGGCTGCAGCCCCGCACGGCCACGAGAGCACGCGACTTTGTCTCATGTCTTATTTGCGCACGCTCTCGTACAAAGGAGATGCCAAATAAGGCCACCTGCTCACGCAAGGAGTAGCTTCCATGGCGCAAGCACTGCGGAAACTTCTCCAGCCTCGACAAAGTAATGTGACACAAACAAGTCAACGCCGTGCATAGTAGTCCCCTTCTGCAGCGGCAGAATGTGCAGACAGCAACCAGCAAGAAGCCTGCCAAGCGGACGTGCGCAAGACCCAAGCGGTGCCCAGAGAGGGGTGCGGCCGGGCTGCCACCGGACTCACAAGTGGCCACTGCGGAGCAGCTCGTCTTGCCTGCGGTACTTGCGCTTGAGGGCCCCCACCAGCTGCACCGCCTTCTCCTCCGAGACCAGGCGCCCCTGGCGCTCCAGGCTCACCAGCATGTTCAGGTTCTGTACCGGGGAAAAGCCGTCAAGGCCCGAAGGCATCCCGCAGGAAAGCCTCACGCGATACATACAACTTCCGCCCACGATCAGACTGGGATGCAATGCAGAGGGTCATCGTGTCTTCTGGCACAAATTCCAAGCGAGACGTTAGTTTTCCTCGATGGCCACGTTAGTTGCGAGGCTGCTGGAAATGTGGCAAACATACTATTCGAAGAGATTGGTACGAGGCTTGTGAGCCGGGTTCTCTAAGCTTTTGACCACTACAAAACACTTAACTGCCTCGAATGACAGTTGAGGAACCCCCCCCGACGTGGCTAACCACTCGGGAGGCCTAAAGAAATTGTGGACAGTGATGCGAGCACAAGGAAGCCTCACTGTCATACACCGATGCGTAGCTTCGAGAAACTAAAAGAATACTTAGAGCAGAAAAAAAGCCCAGAGACAATCAAAAGGTAGCGCGGGCTTGAGGATCTCCGGGGGAATCTGCGAGTTCCTCAAAGACCTGTCGAGAATTCACACTCCAGAGCATGTCTTTCTCTCGGGGACGAAGTCTATTCTTACCCCGGCGGCAACGAACATTATTTTTACAAACCGAAGTGTTTCCCCCGTCAATAATGGGTTCCCTTCACGTCCGCCAAGCACACTCAATGCCACCTAGGAGACGAGGCCCAAGCACGACGTCATTGCTAGTGGATCCCCAAACCGCCCCAGGTGGCAAACGCACCAAAGCTCGATGAGAGACACGCTCGTTTTCGAGACGCTGGCGTTGCGCTCGGTGCGAGGTGCCACGAGACACGCCGGCGGCGATGCCGACGCGAGGTGGGAGGCGCCGCATGGATGCACTAGCGATAACATCTGGGAAGGAAAGGCCTCGTCCTCTAGGTGGTACGCGGGCGGCGCAGGGAGGGCCCACCTGGTTGTCCGCCCGAAGGTGCGCTTCCCTGGCCTCGGCGTCCTGCAGCTGCCTCTCCAGCCGAGCTTTGGCCTCCTGGGCCTCCCTAAGTCGGGCCTGGCTGCCCTGCACCTCCTGCTGGAGAGCCTCCTCCCGCGCCGAGGGCGCCCGCTCCCGAGGCTGGCCGCGCTGCTGTCGGCCCGCAACGTTGGGGCTCTCTCGCCGGGGAGACCCCACCTCCAGGAAGCTCACCGTCCTGCAAAAAGAGCGGGCCCCCAGGGATCCCCAAATGGACGCCAGTGGGGGCAACGTTCTTCGATCGGTTAACAAGCTCCGCAAAAGAGCGTCCTTCCAAGGCAGCTCTTCTCAGTTGCCTGCACGCAAGCAGGAATGGGCAGGCGGCATTCCTAGTGCCACCAACGGCCTCACTCCCACATACGATAACAGGTCATTCTTGAATGACGCTCTTTTTGCGCGAACTTTACCTTTACCCTACCCGCCAAGTTTGGCGAAACCAAATCTGGGAGATTCTTTAAGCCAGGAGGGAGCAGGGAAATAGCATTTTTTTTACAATAAATACTAACAATGAATTTACACAAAGTCAATTTCCTTACATTTATATTGCACTGCTCGTGCTAGTGAGATACAGGTGACGTTCACTACCATTGCTGCCGTCTGTAGTGACACTAAAAGCTCCTCGTGTAAAGCGCAAGTCCGCTTCATTCTTGTGTTTGAAAAAACAATGAAGTCCTCATCAGCATCACCTAGGAAGACCGCACACCAAATATTACGACCTAGTTCAGTCGAAATCATTCTTAAATGGTTTAGCAAACTATGAAACGCGCCAAGTTGCCGAAATCAGCCGAGTCTAGTGGGCGAATCGAGGTGCAATCATCGGCTCAGCGAAAATTGTTGGCTCAGCCAACAATTTCCGCTCAGCCAAAAAATTGTGCCCTTCAAATTAGGCACTTTTGGAAGGACGAGCTCCCTTTCCTCCGACGAATTAAATTTGACAATAATTGGTTTGTGCGAGCCACTGCCTCTGTACTGGCGAATTGTGCGTGCACATTCAACAGAAAGTGGCTCTATTCTAACGGCAAATTTTTTTTTTTTTTTCGCAAAGTTTGCGACATTTTTTTAGACTGGTTCTATCTCTAACCTCTAGTATCGGGGACGTTCAAAAGCAGCAGATTATTTGGCCGCGAATAACTTTCAAGCACGGTGCACCTAAGAGCGACACGCTCGAGTACAGAACCGTTCCATGAAGTAAGCTCTGAAAGGGAAGCAATGGCAATTAAATCGCAATTAAAGACCTAAGAACACAATGCTGCATAGGCATCTAACCGAGTGGTCATATGCAGCACATGGCCGTCGTAGCAGCTGCCGCGTAAGAACGCGGAAGCCCGAAGCTGTGGCCATGGCGGCTCGGAGATGTGGCGTAAAAGCGCGCAGTACCTGTCCAGTGCTGCCCCGGTGGCGCACTGGGTGTGGGTGAAGCCCACGAAGGGCAGGCTGCTGCCCTCAAAGCCCTTCTTCTGGTCCCGCAGGGCTGGCACCCGGGGACGGGGCGTCTCCTGCTCAAACTCGTCGAAGTTGGACGTGTCCTCCTCCCCGCTCAGGCTCGGCACAAACGGGGGCACCGCTGGGTGGGACGGGGGAGGCAATTTAGATGCCGAGACGGGGGAAGCAAGGGAAACCGTCTCAAAGAGGTCCCCATCAAAACCACATGTGTGCATCCCTCCTTTTCATTAAGTGTCTCCGTTGCAGGCTTCGGTTAATACAAGTGTGAATCATCAGCTCGCATGCACTTTTTTTTCATCATCAAAACATTCTGCTGTAAATGCGCATCCTGCGACAACGCGACAAATTACAGGAAAAGACATGTAACAAAACATTACTGTCATTTTTACTGTACTATAATGCGCTTACATAAACTAGGTGCGACCAATTTATGAACAACAGCCGAACATCTACTTCCTCGTGTAGCCATTTGCGGCCGAATTCTAGGCGCAACATTGCAATGCATAGAGTTCCAGTGTAGACCTGACTTTTTGGGGCACAAGTGCGATCTATATAGATAGGCTCGAATTTTAATGCAACCTCAAATATAACACGTCTGCTTTCCAACACACTTTGCGTAGAGCCACAGACTGTGTTGGAAAGCAGACACTTATATCCAAGGTTGCATTAAAATTTGAGCCCATAGGGCAGTGATTCCCAAACTCTGCTACACATCAAAGATATAAAACAATGCATCGCAAACCCTTCCCCTCCCCAGTTGCACAAACAGTAAAATACTAAACTGACATGGAAATTTGATTTGACAGTTTCTACGGTCAGAGTGAGTCAGCTGGGATAAACACCACCGTAAAAGAAAGAAAAATGCCTGCCAACAGGAATGACTGTTTTTAAAGACTTTTAAGCGAGCTTGTTTGTTCGAGTAGAGTCTCTCGAAGCGAGGACAGAGTTTGGAAAGCGCAACTCTCAGTTGTGGCTGGATAAGGCTTATTAGCTTTTATCAATGCAACTGCAGAGAAACAAAGTTCGCAATTTTTCAAGTTGCCACTGAATCAACGGGAGGTTATCACCCACAGCTTGGGAAACAGTTAGAGGGAATGGGAAAGGTCTCCCTGCAATAGAGGTTCGCGAGGAAGGACCTGAAGGTAGATTTTGCTGGTATTCACCAATTTATGCCAAATGCACAGCAGGGCCCATTGGGATGAGAACATATTCAAAAGCTGGACTCATGCTTATTAAAGGGGCACTGACACATCAAAATCACGTTTTTTTTTATTATCCGAAACGAATGAAAACGATTTTGGGACATTACCCTCAAAATTCGAAACTTGGGAATTCAGTATTTGTGAAGTAAAAAAACAATTTGCAAATGTCGAATTCGAAGTTACCGCGCGATCCGTGCCGCTGCGTTGACCTCAAATATTGCGGAGTCCTGAGAGTCCACTTTCTTTCACGACTCTGTGCTGTTGCCATCGTGACCCAAAGCGAGAAGCAAAGGAGCGAGCGCTGGCGGACCGAGAAAAACCGGTTTTGGGCGGTGTCACCCGTTTTTCGAGGGAGGATACAAATCCAGGAGGCAGCACCACAACGGACTCCGATTTTCGGTATATCAAGAAAAAGGGCTGTAGTGTGTTCACAATTGCGTTAAAAAACATGCTTTACGATTGCCGTTTTTAAATGTTATAGAAATGTCGCCTACAAAGCTTCTAAATTTCATGATTCTTGACGTCACGAATCAAAAGAAGCGAGAAGGTGAAAAGCAAAAGAGGAAAACGCCAAAAATAAAAAGGCGCACGCGCGCGTGGGAAAATATTTTTTCGCAATGCGGTTCTTTCTGCGTGCCTATGACTACAACGTGCATCATTTTAGACAATAAAAGAAAAATACGACCTTTGGGGTGTCAGTGTCCCTTTAAGAGAGAAAGGTTAGTGTTACACTAATCCTAAAACCTCTTTCGTAGCATTTGTAAAAACTGAAAAAGTAAAAAAAAAAGAAAAATAGTCAGACAGTGAGAAATTTTTTAGAAGTCTCCAAGTGGCAGCCGACTTGACTCGACTCCTTTAGGGAGTCCCAAAGAAGTCAAGTCAAGGCAGTCGTCACCCTGGGGCTTCCTTTTCAGGCAAGAAGTCAAATTTAATTTGGGAGTCTTACGTGCCAAACCAAAGAAGGGCATCTGCCACGCCCCAGCCGGGGCCCTAGGAATAATTCGGATCACCCGAGATCCTTTGACACGCCACTAAAATCTCGGTTACGCGGTGCCTTCTCCGCGGTAAGCCTCCGTCGGACTGCGGGTGCCTCGGCCGATATTCGATCGCACCACCCGGGGATCCGAGGGCGGTGCTTTGCCTCGGAGTCGCCCTCGGACACGAAGGAAACGTCGGGGGGCTCACTCTGCCTGATGTTGTTCCAGTCGACGGAGGCAAAGAAGGTGTGGCCGCACACGTCTTGGTAGGAGAAGCGCCGGTCGGCCGAGGTCAGCAGGCCTTGGAGCATCCGGACGGCCGTCTCGGAGACCTCCGCCTCTTTTGGGAATGTCAGCGAGTCCTGCAACGTCGGCAATGGGACGGTCCCACCTGTTTTGCCTGGGCATTTACCGCTTCACCCTTCCCTGGAATGCACCGCTGCCTCGAATGCATCTCCAACTCGCGTCTTTACCACGTCGGAAAAAAAATGGTCCCTCGATTTCTGCCCAGCGATGTCGTAGAAGCGTCACACCATCGCCGATTGCCCTACGGCTCGGCAGTCCGCGGAAGCTACGGCATTTGGGGGTCGAGACGCCCCGACGACAGAAACACTCGCGTCTGCTCCTGCCTTCTGCCGGAACTCTACGAGCAACCACCGGGATCGCAATGTCCGACTGCGTGACGCTCCGGCCTTTGCGACGTCAATCGTTGCCGCTTCGGAACCACCTTCGATGCACGAGCGGAATAGGACACTAAACACACCGGTCGGAGATGAGTTACTGGCATCGTAGCACCGTCAAAAGGACCACAATCTTACATAAGTGGGCTTATTTTAAGGAGATGGCTACTCGAATGCCAGAGATCAGAAACGGGACAATCTTTCTATCTCGCGCGCAATTATCTTCTCATCCGGGCAACTCCCGGTCCCCAGTGCAATGCGGCGTCTGCAAAAGCAAATACCAACCCGAGGATTTTTCTTTCTCCTTTTCTTTTTTTTGGTGTTTGCGAGGCTGCTACAGTCGAGTTCAGTTATATCACACCCGGGTATTTCGAATTATTGCTTATCTCGAACAGTCCAAACATCCCCTTGAAAATCGCATGTAATTGTATAGGAGCGTTGTCTTTTTGCATCGAACTTCCATGGACTCCCATGGCGGGGACACTCGATATGTAGGGAACGAAGCAAGGAGGCCCTTCGCTTTTCCCTTTTCCCGCGGTTTGCGCCCGCCGGCAGAGCACATAGCTCGCGTTGCCGGGCTGGCAGACCGCCAAGCCAGCATACGCGCACGGAAATACTCTACTCGACAAAAAGCAGTTGGAAAAAAAAAGAAAAGAGCAACCGCAAAAAAAAAAACAAAAAAAAAAATGTCGAGGATGGCAAAGGGAAAGGCACGCGCGAGGGAAGGCAGGGAGTGCTCCTTAACCCCAAAATAAAAGAAGCAAAAAAAAAAAAAAAAACTCTTTGTCAAGTTGAGTGTGTCCACAACAACGGTTGAGCAATCGCACTTTGAACGCCTTATCTTTTTTTTTTCCTTTTTCTTTCGCCGTTTTTGCGAAGCGCGTTTTTTTTTTTTTTTTTTTTTCTTTTTTGCTGTTTGAATTTAGTGAGGTTTCTTTTTTGTTGCTTGCTTAGCTTTATTTTATGGATCGAGCTTTTTTTTTTGTTTGTTTTTATGCAGCTCGCTTTTTCCATTCTTTCATTTTTTTTTTTAATTCGTGTTTTGTCGTTGGTGCTGTGCGAAGGTCGCGCGTCGCGCGCGCGCGTAAACGATTGCAAACACTGCGATCTTCCCCAACCAACCTCTACTGCATTTAGCGGCTCTTAGTTTAATTAACATTAATTTAACATATTTTTGTATATCAAATTATCGATATATCGAACTATTTTACGATCCTCTTTGAATTCAATATATCCGGGTTTGACTGTAAAGGCCGATTCCGCTTACGACCATGTGCCTTAAAATCTCTTCCAAAAGAACACTCTGCAGCCATCTATCGGGTGGAACACTGCATTTTCAAATACATTCCTTACTCTTTTTGCGCATCGTTCTTCCTTTCTTGGAAAACTTCCCGCAATGTTACAAACAACCATTTCTCATATATAGTATGTACATTTGATTTGGCAAAAACTGCAACCCCTTCGCTCTAGTTAAATGCAGTTCCAGTGTTACCTCACAGATGGTGCATAAGAGACAGCGAGAACTCAGTAGTAAGCGAACGCAAACGCGTCGACGGGCTTTTACCGCACCTCCGTCCGACCACACTCCGTTTCACCTCACAATCGACCGCGGCGGACAACACGAGCTGTCGAAGTCGATTCAAGGTCGCGAGAGTGCTACGTGTTCTCAAAGAGGGACGCAGCTACGGGCGGAAAGCTTACGACGCGCTACGTTTGCGGAGCCGGATTGGCTAAGGTGGCTCGTCGTGTCCGCCCCCGTCGGACATAAAGTAAAACGGGGTATAGGTGCATCGTTCATCATCCCAAAACAGTAACTTTCCCGGCTGTTACGTTCACAAATGCCAGTCCCGTCGGACTCCCTTAGAGATACGCGTTCATTTCCCGTCTGTCAAATTAGTCTTCCCCACCGCAACGTCCCAAAAAGTGCCGCCCGACATGGCCGGTACTGAAGGCACTTTTTTTGTTCCCTTTGTTTTCTGGTCAACGACGTGACGATGTGGCGCTACAATTTGTCGCGATCCGGGCGGCGACGCGGGTCGACGCGACCAACGCTTGTTCTGCCGCGGCTCATTGCGCAGCCAGCCGGTTGACGGAAACTGCGTCGACCGCGGATCGGGACGTTACGACAACAGCGACCCTCGCGTCTCCGCTCGACATCTTTGCCGTCACTACGGTTGGCGAGGGCCGAAGAATCTAGCGGGTGCTCCGCCTCGCACGCTATCTGTCCCTCTTCGACGACACTCCGTTGCTCGCACGACCGAAGTCTGGCAGAAGGGAACGAGCGTGTGCTGGGGGGAAGCATCTACCGCATTCTTAAAGCCAGTTCACAAACTCACACTTACGACCGAGCATCTTAAAACCTCTCGGAATCTCTTGCGACAACAGAACGCGCCGGGACCATCCTTGGGTAACCGTGGAATGCTTGACGTTTCCGTATATTTCCTCATTTTTTTCGCACGTTACTTTCTTTTCTGGCTCAAAAAACTTTGGGCAATATTAGAATGAACGCCTCTCCAGAAATGTCTATTTGATCCGGTAAATACCGCAAAACATAGGCACTAGTGAAATGCGGGGCCACCTCGTAGACGGCGCCACGCGTTCTCTCATCGCGAGAGATCGCTGCGACTCGGTCGCAAGCAGATGCAATCGTGTGGGCCTCTAGACCGTCAACGATCGGCATTTCGATAAGCGACCGGTCGAGCCGCCGGCTTCTGTTACGTCGTTTGTTGCAACTTCGGGACCCCTTTTGACGCACGAGCGGTACGAGACGCCGAGCGTCCTGGTCGAAAAGGTGGGGTGCGGCGTGCCCACCTGGAAGTTCATGATGTTGTTGTAGGTGACGGTGATGCGGTCGCCCGCGAAGGGGTTCTGGCCGAAGAGCATCTCGTAGCCCAGCACGCCCAGAGACCACCAATCGCAGGCCGTGCCGTGCGCGCGAGGGGCCGCAGGGCCTCCGCCCACGGCGCTCAGCACCTCGGGCGCCACGTAGTGCGGCGTGCCCACGGGCATCCGGCTCCCCATCTGCGAGCACGAGGGTGGCATCTTTTTCCTCTTCTGCGTGCGGAGCCTCGTTAGGAAAAGCTCTAAGGTAATGTCGTGCTATATTTTCGTTAGTGCCACCTGTACCATGCCTGTGCATTTCTTTTCCAATGACTTTCCTACATCTCGTTATTAGGAGTACCTAGTTATCCTAGCTGCGCACGCTCGCATATACTCTTGGACGCACTTGGCAACCGAGTATGTGCGCATGCACACGTGTACCGACCAAAAAGAATAAACAAACATATGAATAGAGGAGTAAAGAAGCCGCTTGAGAAATAAACGAAACGAACAAATAACATTCCGTGTCCCTCCGAGCTTTCACGCGGGAGTCAAGCGGAAGTTGAACATCAAACACCGTATCCAGATGATTCGAGGCACAATGGGTTCTCTACACTGTTACAACTAGAGTCACTGGAGCATAGTATTTGAGTAGTATGATTTAAGAATGTTTTCCAGCAGCAACGCGGCGGCACAGTTCACCGGCCAATCTGGGACGGCGGTAATAATATCTAATTAAGGGATTATTTTCATCTAATGATACCTTTTGTCCCAACCTGCTGCGGTGACTGTGCCGTCCTTCAAAAGAGCGAGGAAAGGTAACGAAGCGATACGACAGTCTTGGCTACGTGTGGTGTGTCCCAGAAATAATTCACGGGGTTTTCCTTTCGTCGCACAAAGAAAGTGTGCATTGCCAAGCGCTCAATCGCCATCCACATATAGCGCAGGAAGTCCTCACAAGATGCCAAATTTTATGAACTCACCGTTATCTTGTTTGAAAGCTAAGCGATTTTCTAAAAGTTTCAACGGAAAAATGGAGCTGGTTCTCAATAGTTTGCCCTATTCGACCCCATGTGTTTGTGGGCTTCGTCCGTCACCACTTCACTAATGGAAAATTTTCAAAAATTGATATAGATAATGGTTCCTTCAGAAACTCTGGCATCTGGTTCAGATAGCTTGCGCTACGTTTGGGCAGAAACGGTGTATACAACAGTGCGTAATTTCCTTTTGCATTAAGAAAGTTTTTTTGGGGCCCGTATATGGTGCCCCGCCCAAAGGGTCGCCGGCTCCTCAGCCCGAGCAAACACTCACGCTTTTCCTGTCCGCAAGCTTGGCAGCAGAGCCGAAGTCGGCCAGCTTGATGTGGCCGGTGCGGTCGATGAGCACGTTGTCCGGCTTCACGTCCCTGCCGCACGGAGAGCGATTGGAACATGTCGGGAGCGAGACTTCAATTTGCACAGTGCTACGCCGGTCATGCGTCGGACCGCCTTTTCCTCACCGAGGGGCATAATGCATGGCATTGTGCGTTTCAAATCTCAATAATGCTTGAAATGCAGGATACGAGGAGCGAACGTTTAATTTTGTTTGAGGGCATTAAATGTCAAGCGACATTATGGCATAACGCGATGTGGTGTCCCACCACGTGACTTCAGCTCGCGTCAAATGAGATTACTTGCCACTGGGCGTGCTCAGGTACATTGACGAACAAATTTATGGGAGTTAAGCGCCATTTGCTCTAGATTTAGCCTGTAGAAGCTTTCCAAGTTTAAAAGCACCAATGGCCAGGAGAACCTTACAGTGCATCCAAATGGAAAAGAATCCTGAAAATTTGGTGTGAGCAATCTTATTGGTTGAGACCCGAAAGAGGGCTTACGATTGGTCCGGCCCAGTTACGTGATATTGCGCCATCTTCAGTAACACCCTTTGACAATACCTTCCACTTCAGATCATAAAGTATAGACCACTTACAACGTAACCGCTTATAGTGCAGGACCGGGTATACCGCGGCTTTTTTAAACCACCGGTTCGCCTCCCATAGAACTCCATGTAATTAAATACCGCATAAAATGCAGGCGCGCGAAGGGAAATGCTGGTTATAGTGCGGTTTCTGGAACAGCCCGCCGACCGCGCCAACCGACAGGCACAGCGAGCACGCTTCCCTGTGCGACACTAGATAACGGCGCTAGCCGCAAGCGACACTCGCGGGGCAAGGAGATTGCTTGAAGAAGCGGGGAGAAGCGAAGAGAGAGGCTTCAGTTGCCATAGCGACGGAGGGACGCACGCACGTGTCGTTCACATGCATGCGTCTTTCCGCTACGTTGGAAACAACCGCAACGACAGACCAATCGCAGGTCGAGGAGAAGTGTTCGCGCGCGTTGCATGCCGGTTGCAGGCCGGCTGCTTCTGTCCGCAAACATGGCGTCGGCGGTGATTGTCGACGTAGACGGCGTGGTGGAAGCCTATCGTTCCGCGTAAAAGCCCTATCCTTGACTGTGAATTTTCGTTATGTGTTGCTATGATAACCCAGCATGTGCTAGAAGGGAAGATCCACCTACTCGTGCGGCGATGTCGTGGCGGCACTCTCAAGGCAGCAGAAACGCCCGTGTCGTTGTGTTTGTTTACTTCGACTACAGTGGTGCTTTCTAAGCATTTGTGTTTTCGAACATCGCCCGGATTTCTTATATGGAGCATTTCACGCCTGTGCTCAAGTTGAAGGTATTACTGGCGAATTTTCACGCGTTTTCATCACCAGAGAAAAGTGATTAGGGTTAGCAATCCTGAACGCTCGCAACGTCCGTCCGCAACCTGCGACGCCGTTAAAAGGCTGCGCCAGGCAAAAGTCGCTCATTTCTTTCAAAATGTGTGACACACTTGAGAGAGAAGGGTACTAGTCTGGTGAAATAAAGACTTTCCTCGAACTAAGCTTTATTTTTCATCTAATATAAAATAAATTGTTTTACAAAGGTAAGTTGTCTCATGGCATGCATTTTGGCCTGAAAAATTGATGTTTTGGTTATAGCGCGGTACTGCTTATAGTGCGGATTTTCACGACTCCCGCAACATATGCTATATGCGGTCTACACTGTATTCCTGCTTTGCTCCTCTTCCTTAGTATGATGTGCCTCTTAGCTCTTGCCAGTTTGTGTTTTGTCTGTCAAGGAATGCCTACAACAAAAGTTTGGCTGCCTACAAACGACACAAACTGGTAGCTAGTGCCAGGGGAACAGTGAACTCTCAAAGAGGAAGGAGCTAACAATGCTCCAGGTTAGTTTTGCCTACCTTGGACTCATAAAAAATAAAGAAACCTAAGGTTGAAACTTCAAATGCATTTTTCTCAGTTTCACTTTTTGGCAGGAAATGTGGTACAAGGAAATGTATCATTTGACATTGTGAAGGTGTGAAAATTTCATTCAGTGGTGTCACGGACTGAAATTTCCTGAGGAACAAGTTAAGGTACTCACAATCTGAAAAAGCCAACTTCTTCGTGACAAAAACTGAATATTTTAAAACACAGAGATTTGTTAAAAGCGTTTGCTCGTTTTGGATGTTATTGTTTTTCTCTAAAATTGTGTTTTCTACAATTAATTTTTACCTTAACTCGCACTAACTCGCACTTTCCATTAAAACAAACACTTTTTGGATTGCAATTTTTTTTTTTAAATACATTTCCTTACAAAGTAACTTTTTTCTGGAGCTCACTAAGCATAGTATGTTGTAGAATGGGCCTACACAACTGAAACTTTAGATGCCATCAATCCTAATGGGGTTAAATTCACCCTGAACGTTTGAATCAATATGAAGGAAAAGTTCCAAAGTTAATCCTACCAGGCCCCCCCTTAATAATCTAGAGGGAAAGATCCCACGGATATCGGTCGCATCGGAACGGAGGGGCATAGACCACTTCCAAGGTGTGCGTCTGCTTTCACCTGTGTACGTATCCGAGGGTGTGCAGGGCGTGCAGGGCCAGCACCAGCTCGGCCAGGTAGAAGCGGGCGTCCTCCTCGGGCAGGGCAGGCCCGCTGCGGTCCAGCAGCCCAAACAGGTCGCCCCCGGGTAGAAACTCCATGACCAGGTACAGGTGGGAGGCGTCCTGGAAGGCGTACTGCAGCTGCACCAGCCAGGGGCCCCCCTGCGGGGCTCGCACCAGGACGTCCCGCTCCTCCTCGTAGAAGGCCACCTGCGGGCACACCTTCCAGTACGGCTCCGCTCCGGCAGAAGCAACCGGGTCCGACGGACGCCTCCTAGCTACGCTCCCTTTCACTTCAAATCTAGCCGAGTTCATCGAGTGGCACCAAAAGTGCCTTGACATGGCCCTTCTTTGCGCGTCTGCCATTGAACCAATCATGCGCAGTAAAGGCACTGCAATCCTGCACCCTTCCTCTTTGTGCACGATTGGCTCAGTCGGGAAACGGGCAAATCCGAAAAGATGTCGAGAGCCGTGACGTGCTTTTGGCGACGCTCGAACTTCCAAACAAAAGCTCGCATTTCCTACGTCCAAGCGAAGGTTAGACGCCGGCTGCGACTCACGTCAATGTCAATGTCAAATCACGTTTTCCTCGTGACGGTGCCTTTATCTACGAGAGGGTGTCCTATCAGATCTTTCTGAAAGGTCAAACCAGTCCGAGCTGGTTGGGCGTCATAGCCCGCGTGAAACGAGTGTCCCTGGTCCGAATGCTACACTTTGTTTCGTGATATGTCTAAAATGCCGTCAAAGCTGGTGGCTCGAGCGTGGGGATCAATCTTGCGATTCCCTCGCGCCTGCTTTTGTGCAAATGATACCCTAGGTCAGGGGTTCTCAAAAATTTTGGTCTCACGGAACCCCAGGAAGCCTCAAAAACTGCCGCGGAACCCTCCCCCTCCCTCCCCTCCTCCCCCCCCCCCCTCCCTCCATATTTGCCGATTGAGAAGCAACAGATGCAGAATTGTAGGCAATTTTGCTTGTGTTGCTTCTCATATATCCCCACCATATCAATCGCGATGTCAGTACAAAGTGAGATGAAGGCGCTTTGCATGGTCCTGCCGCGCAGCCTGCGGCATGGGGGGGGGGGGGAGGGGTTGCAATTTGGGTATTCGCGGATCCCATGAGACCAGCTCGTGGAACCCCTGTGCTCCCCAGAACCCAATTTGAGAACCCCTGCCCTAGGTGAAGCCATGCGCTCGCACGAGTAACTTCATTGCCACCACAAATTGACCACGGAATGGAATAGAGTCCCAAGGCCGTTGCACGGAAAAAGCTTCCAGCCAGAGTCCGAGTTACAAACACTCCACATTTCTCAATGCCGTAATAATTGCGGAGAGCCCGGAAGCAAATGGCCTTCTACTTGCGGAAAAGTACCCGCACACAAGTGACTGGCAGACAGTAGCACTAAAGTAGACACTCCACGAAAATCCAAACATTGAATGGTCGTTAACCCATGGAACGATATTCTTAGATGAAAGATCACACGACGCTTTTCGAGCGGTCTCTGCAGGTACCTCAGACACCGACCCACGTCGCCCGCGCGTGTATCAATGGTTGCGGACTCACCTCCCTCTGGGACAGGGTGTAGTCCTTGCGGAGAATCTTCATGGCATAGATGTCGCCTGTGGCCTTCTCCTTCACCATGTGGATGTCGCCGAAATGGCCCCGGCCAATCACTGCCTTCATCTCAAAGTCCGAGATGCTCACCCGCAGCTGGCGCAGCTCCGTCACGATGCCCTGGTCTGCGGGAACGAGGACGGAACGCCCGTTACCCACCCGGCGGACGACCCACCATGGCCTTTCCGTGTCCTTATCCGACGGCGGCTCTGACGAGGAGCTCCACCTAGCCTTCCGGCAGATTGGGAGCAATTGAAAGCTGGCCACACACAATTTCTTAGGACCTCAGCAATGTCCGTCAAGCGAACGCACACATGGCCAATGGTGCCGGTACTGCAGCAAATCGAGACAGCCGGGTTCTGTTACTAGGTCACAGGCAAAGGATCCACCTTACGAGAAGTTAAGCAGGCATTACGGTTCGTAGCCCTCGTGCTTGCAGGTGCCTAATAAGAAGTTTGTAGTTTAGTATCCTTAAAACACTTGCAAAACTTCCCAAAGGGCAACGCGAATTCTGGTTAAAGTTGAAATTGTCCAATCCCGAGGCTACAACACCGGGCGACTAGCACCATGCACCCACTTCCTGTCACGAGTATCGAAACTCACAGAGTATGCGACACCTTTTACATACAGTCCATTGCACCGGCCAAGCTTCCAAGCTGCCTTTATGGACTCCTCAGTCTTTCGTATTTACTTCCCCCGATTTGGGGATTTCTGTCATTTCTTTTAGAGCGCAGCTCTTAGGGGCCCGTTCCCGGCTTGAGCGGCGTTGCCGTCGGCGTAACCAAGGTCACCCCAAGGTCACGTGGCCCCCCAAGGTCATCCCCCAGGGTCACGTGACACCCAAAGTCACGTGACCACCCCCCAGGGTCACGTGACCCCCCGCCGAGGTCACGTGACCTCCCCGATGACGCCATCATCACTGATGACGTCACCAGCATCCGCATCGTCATCCTCATCATCACTGATGACATCATCAGTGACGTCACTGATGACCTCACCGGCATCCGCATCGTCATCATCACTGATGACGTCATCAGTGACGTCACTGATGACCTCACCGGCATCCGCATCGTCATCATCACTGATGACGTCATCAGTGACGTCACTGATGACCTCACCGGCATCCGCATCGTCGTCATCATCACTGATGACGTCATCAGTGACGTCACTGGTGATGTCACCGGCATCCGTATCGTCATCGTCACGGATGACGTCATCAGTGACGTCACTGATGACGTCACCGACATCTGCATCGTCATTGTCATCATCGCTGATGACTTCATCGGAGTCAACATCGTCATCGTCACTGATGACATCATCGTCACACGACCCCCCCAGGTCACTTCACCCCCCCCCCCCCCCCAGTACCCTTCCCTCCTCCTCCTCAAGGGCTGCGCTCTAATTCGGTGTTACAGGGAGTTGTAAACGGCTTGTGTTTTACGAAGAATATGTATAATGCCAGGATTTTATGAGAATGTATTCAAAAATGTTCAACGCATAAGCGTAACATGCCAAATTCAGCGATCTCACACCCTGCTAAATGTTGCTGGAATTTTTGTTCCAAACTGTAGCACTAAATTGGTACGAACTCAGCGGAATTTAGCGCGACTCCCGAGCTCGTGAAGGGCCTCAAATAAACACCCAGCGCAGCTCAAGACACGCTGCACATCCTGCTCTTCTTTTTATGAGCAATGCCCCTATAGCAATCCCAAAATGGCCAACGATATAAATAAATAAATAAAAAGCAACTATCGTGTTGTTGTTTATTTGTCCACAGGAGGTTGGGTAACAGGCACTTCAGCATATGGGTTCTGTGGCCTTCCCGAAAACCGTGCACGCCTCATCTGTTCCCAACTCTCGTGTAGACAAAGATCAAGTCTCGGATGACCGGCGAAGAAACCACAATCCTCTCGGCATTACAACAATGAAGCCATTCACTAATACAGTGATACCCATACTCAGTTCATGCTACGTTTTATAATAACTTGGAAAACGATGAAAGTTACAGCCCCACCGAATTTTTCCAAAAATATCTGAGAGGTGGACATCGAAAGGGGGAGGGGTTACTGGGAGGAAGGGGCTCTAATGCACTGAAATAGTGCGCACTGTATTTTCGCGCTCTCTTGTGCACACTGTGCCCGCACAGTAACGATGCCGAATGCAGGCATCAATCTGATAAGCATGGTGCTGCGAGATTCGCTGATTCTGGACGTTCCAAGGTATTATATGTTTCAAAGACCGCGTCCTTTAGTTTATCCTCGACAAAATACAGAGGTAGCTAGCACACCACAAAGATTTGCGATCAGTTGAGCTAGCAGGTGCCACCCACTGCCCACCATGGGGAAAAAAAAACCTGCAGCCCAGGGGGAGCCAATAGGAACCTTTGGAGCTAGCCATGCATCAGTGGTGTGCGGAAGTGTCCCCTGGCATTGCGCAGGCCAAGGTACTCGTGGGCCTTCTTATTGGCTCACTGGGGTTCTAGCTTTCGCTGTTTGCCACCGTGGAGTTATGCCGAAATGGTGTAATAGGGGAATGTGTGGCTCATTATTGTGCATTCTAGCATGGCATGGCTCAGCTATAATAAAATAGCACTTAAACTTGAAAAACAGATTACTTAAAGGAGCACTAAACCATTTTCTGCAATAGTCTATTCATGATTATAACTCATTCTATGGGCTCTAAGTATCCTAAATAACCAAACATTCATGCATGGCCAATTTGTTTAATAAAATCGATATCAAAGATTGATACCATCGAATCTAGTGCAGGCACCAGAGGGCACTGCTGGACGAGAAACCCTGGAGCAACTGTATAGGCTCTGCTTTCAGAGTCAGAGTATCACATTCTTTTTCCTTTCGCTGCCAACTCCGTATTGGCAGAGAAACAGTCACGTGCGCCAAACTGGATCCAACCTTCATGCAGGAAAGCAAACTTGCAGGCACCGAGTTTCGGGCAAAGCATGTTTCTTGCTTTGCGTTTGCGAAATATACACCGCACACTAAAATAGAACAAACTGGAAGGTTCCTTGACCATTGAACATTCTGTGTAGCCACTAAATACAGTACAATCACGTTGTTTTATAACGTGAGCGATGTTTCAAAGCATGTTTTCGTCGGGGAAGCAGATGACACGGAGTATGACCGCGTTAATCGTTCCGGTGGCGCTCGCGGTGTGATACGCGACCGGCACATCCGGGCACCTCAGACCAGACAACGTGCAGCTACGTCTTCGTCAGCTACAATGCTCTACCGAGGACATGAAGAGAAACAGGAGATAAATGACGAGACAACAGGCGCACGTGCCGCGAGTCACCTTTTTTTTTTTTTTTGCTTTGCACTTTGCAGTTTGTCACCTCACAGCGACGAGATTTGCGCCTCCGGGTCTCTTGCAGAAGGGACGGTCTCTTCCCGCAGTGCAGCTTGGATACAACATGGCTGCCTGGGAGCACCATTGTGATACTGTGCCCCGCAAGCGGAGCATATACAGTTACTCTAAGAAGCCCTTCTAGCCTGACGGCGCTCTCTGGTGTCTGCGAAAGGTCCAAGGTAATCAATCTTTGACACCCATTTCACTAAAGAAATCGGTCACACACGAATGTAGTGTTTAGTTTCTTAGGAGGCTCAGAGCCAATAGGTTGAGTTACGACCATAAATAGACTATCACCCTTTAAGAGTGGTGACAGATTTGAGGTGCTCGAGGAATTCCAGAAGCTACAGCATAGGAATCCAGGTTGGGGATCCATGTTCTACCAATAGCACAAAATAACCACTTTCTTTCTTTGCTCAGTGAGCCGAAGTGAAGCTGGCAGAAAACCTACATTTAACCTAAAGGTGCAATCCTTTTAACCCCCAGTTCTCCCCCAAACAAATAATATGTGAATGAGCCAAAACATGTTGAGAACAAACAGTTCAAGCTGCTCTAAAAAAAGAGAAAAACTAGGGTTGCTTTGTTACACTGGGGAGGCCAGTCTGTGTGGAAGGATGCACTCACACTTGTCGAGGAAAAGGGCAATGTTCTTGTCCCTGCGCAGCTGCTCCCTGTTGCACTCGTCGTAGAGCGCAAACAGGGCGTCCAGCAGGCTGTCTCGGCTGGCCAGGTGGCGGTTGGCCAGCTGGCCACTGCCACGGCCCAGCAGTAGGTGGTTCAGCTTGGTCGACCGCACCGCTATCGGCTCGCGCACGGCCGGAACCGCATTGCCCTTGGCGTGCGCCATCACTCCGCACTGGAAGCAAGAACGGCAGAAATTTGCTTCAGAGACGACAAAGACTGAGGTTTAGTTAGAAGCGATGCGAGTGTAAGCACCGGGATGTGCAGTGGCTTCACAACTCCAAAGAACTGCGCACGTCCTTTGTCTAGGCTCGTGCCGCCTGTTTGCAAAAGTTTGCCCGTTTCCAGAGGAGAATGACGCCAAACTTCAATTGAAGTGTCGAGTCATTTTTCGCATTTGCGGCACAAAGGTTACAATTATACAACCTGCTTCTGCACTGAGAAGGCCCTGCCAAAGACTTACCGTAAAATACCGGGGAAGCGCCCACTCAAAATTTAGAGATAATCGCAAAACAAACGGGGGATGGGCCCTTGTCCGGTCATCAATTTTACGTATAAATGTACTGTGCATATGTTTTCACATCTTAGAAGTTTGGATATGGGTGCTTAATGTGGAATGGGCGGATGCGCGGTATTTTACGGTAGCACTATAATTCAGTTAGATTTCCTTTCTACCTGGCTGGACGACGGAACAGGGCCACTACTGACTTGGGTCCAGACTTACAGGATGCTACGCAACATAGGAATTATGTATAGGGACTTTGGGGAATGCAGGTCTTCCCTGTGCATCTTATGCAATATAAAAATTTTGTATTAAAATATTTCACCTCATCCTATCCCCCTGTAATGCATTCATCGAAAGCAATTATTACATGCTACGGCCATAGACTTTGATGGAGCAGTTATATGTTGACTGTAGCCCCATTGAGAGGACAGCCAGGGCGGATTGGTTAATTATATTTGGAAAGGTACAGCGCAAAAGACTAACACGGACAGAAGGGCCAATATTTTGTCTGTTCGTGTGCACCTACCGCACTGGACGTTTTTAGGTAGGTACCATCTCCTTAGGTAACCGCAGCCCCAACTTGAAGGCGTCAACAGCCCCTCGAGCGAACGTTGGCTAACCGTTCGCCAATAAACGAAAACGATGCTGCTTTCACAAGGACTAGAGCGAAGAGGCAATAAAAAAAATTTAAAAAGCCGTCGATGATCAAAACGTACGTTGGATCTGGAAATGTAGCAAATGAACAGGTAGGCGTTGACGGAAGGAGCGCAACGCTCCCACGCGTCGCAACGTCCGCGACCTTCGGACCAGTACACTGTCAATGGGGGCATGCAACACCCGTTGGTAATTCGGAGACATCCGCTAGATCGTGCCACTAGAAATTAGACAACCGCCTTCAGTTTGACGGTGTGGCGTACTCGGACAGCCGCCTGTGCTACTTAGGACGGATGTCTATATTTGGAAGCGATAGAAAAATGCCCGCACGCCGCCGTGCGCGGGAACGACGCAGCATCTGGCAATGGTGACTAAAGCTAGGTTGCGACCAGTGTTTAATATCATTTGGTACCTCATGAGGTGCAACGAAATTTCAAATGCGTACGCTGTAGTACGTTACCGTTTCGACAGCGTCGCGGCGTTGCTCAATGGGAGCGATATGACCGACTCCCGATTTTAAAACTGCGTCCGTTTTCGCGGCAGTCTGCGGCGACCTTCGGTCATATTTGACGAAAGTAACCCCTACTTTGGCTGTGTCAGTATTTAAAAAAGTAAAATAAAGGTTATTTACCCGAATATTGGTACACCGAACGCTTAGTCCATTGTAATCCTCAGCTTTCCAGTTACCGCGGCGTTTTATAAACGAAAAATCAAAATTCAAAGGAACAATGTAGCCAGATGATAGCTCAAAATGGCTAAATAGCTCAAGCTGCTCAAGCCAGGCTGAAGCGTCTCGCACAAGAGTTTAAGTTTGTTTAATAAAATGATACTTAAATATCATATAAACCTTGTAAATTAATGACCGCAATATTAATTGCGCTTTTGCCTATTTGTTTTTCTTTAAAAGTTTACAAATTCTTTTGAGCGCGTATTTGATAGTTCTTGTTTCGTTTCTGCGTTCCGGACATATGCGCTCGCAACATTGATATACGCAGCGCTCGGATTGGTCTGCTTAACTGTTACGTCATGCATACGTCAGGCCTTGCCAACACCTGGTGGGTCGGAGCGCGCATTTTTGTGCTTGCCTGGCTCCAGGTAGGAGACGGGAAGAGCTCCTTCGCCCCTAGAACTGGTATCGCGTCCTGACAGCGTCGCTCCAGCCAGCGTGCGTTCCACGGCGACGTCGTTGAATTCTCCGACCGACTGTCATCGTCTAATTGCTGCGCTCCGGCGTCGCCGCATTAACGGCGACGATGATCGCCCGAACGCATTGAAAGAGCAGAAATTGGGTTGTGTTTGATGTGGGCCTTGGGTCTGAACGACCCCGCGTCGCTACGCAACATGCCGCGGAGCTGTCAAACTTTTCGGCGGCGGTGGCTGTGACTCATCGGGATACCTGCGCTGGATCTGGGTGCACGGTGGTCGGCGATCGCTGGGAGTGCGAGTGCTATGCCGGCAGCGAGGTGCCGCGTCGTCTGTGATGTGCGCGTGTCGTGTGGGAGGCATGCAGCCGAACAGCGCTAGTGCGTCGCCCATGCTCGACGAGCTCGAGGATTACCTGCACGAGATCAGGAGTCGGGACGACGAAGGGGACGAGGACGGCGCCGGGGACGTGTACTCGCAGCTCGCCCAGAAGGAGAAGGACCTCTTGTTGGCTGCCGAGATCGGCAAGGAGCTCCTCGAGAGGAACACGGACTTGAGTCGGCAGAATGAACGACTCACGGAGGAGTACTCGCGCAAGCTCGAGGTGAGCCCTTCGATCTGGATCTGAGATCGCAATGAAGCGCGCTGTTTGAAGTGAAGAAGGTTCAACGTCGTGTTTGAGTGACTTTGTTACGGTACTTTATGCAGATCACGGAGAGACAACCGCGGAAAATGAGCGCCAATGAATGACATAGAGGAGGCGCGTCGGCAGTTTTGGCAGGTTACTCCGACACTGTATTCCGCGTCTTCCTTCTTCTTCTTCTTCTTATTATTATTATTGTTATTATTATTATTGTTATAAGTATTTACAGTTTACATTTGTGTTCCTGGCCAGAAGGTGGAACCTCCTCATCCTCCACCGAAATATCCCGTTGTTCGATCGGAGACGGGCTACTTCGAAGCTCTTCTAAAAGTCTGAAGAATTACCAGAAATCTACCGCACTGCGTTCGGGGGCTGACGCGAGCGTTTTATCGTGTTTTATCGCAGTTGTTTCGTGATTACGTCCGCATGATTGTAAGCAACGTTTATAGAATTCCAGGACGACGTGTCACGTTTATAGTTAGACGGACCTTACGCGCTTGGAATGGCTTATACTCTAATAGGAAGTCATTGTCGGTCCCTCGAAAACAAAACAAGGCGACCCACTGTCAGCGGGACCGGATTGCTCGTGAGATCCGAAAAGGAAACTTGTTTTGTACAGTGCCAAATGGAGCGTAGGGGACGCTGAAGCGCGTCTTGTCATCGGAAAGGTACTACCGCGGAAAGAAACAGGGCGACGTGTGTGTAACCTATTCCGCTATCAGTCGTCTTTATCTTCTAACGACGACCGACTGCTCTTGTTTTGATTGCCTCAGACTTTATTCGTACCTCGGTTTATCTGTCGGTGGGGAAAGCGAGGGTAAAATGGGCGCTTTTAAGTTGTTTCTTTCTTTGGGGACGTTTGGAGAAGCATGGTCTGATGATTCTTTGCTTTCCTGGTTTTTGTCTTTTTTGCTCGAGGCAGTGCCAGCTGCACGTTCCCGCCACGGGACATCCGGTGGGGAGAAGATTTCCCCACTATTTTCGGCGGAATAGTTTTATATATATATATAAAGAGAGAGAGAGAATTTATTTATTTACTTAATATATATATATTTTCTTTTTTTTTCTTTTTTTTTTTGGGGGGGGGGGGGGGGGGGGCTGCGATTTGCGGGAAAAAGATTCTGTAGTCGCTGTTGCATTCTTGCGGAAACAACCAAGTCACGCGCCAGCATCTTTCTGGTCTATGTACAGGGATGTTCTCGAGAAACGAGAACCGTGTTTTTCGGCCCGAGTAAGTAAACTACGCATCGCAGAATGCTCAAACTCCGTGAAATTGGACGCTGGCGGTTGGGATAGAATACAAAAGTTTGAGAACGTGACGTTACCTGGATAAAGAATATAATTAAGGAGAACGAACTTTCTCTGTGAGCCGGCATCCACCTATGTCTAATTTCGTCTAAAAAAAAAGGAAAAAACATTGTGAGCGCTTGTAGTATTTTTTTCAGTTAAACAAAGCTGTCAGCAAGAAAGAAAGCAATAATATCTTTCTTGGTGACTAGTGTATTTCACTGATATAAATCCCACGAGCGTTCGCAATATCAGTTCGCGTTTTGACGATATTATGCTTAGGTGGACGTCGGCTCATAAATAAATTTCGTTTGTTTCAGTTATTTTTTAATTCAGGCAGGGTCATCTTTTCAAACTTTCGCGTTCTATCCCAATCGCTAGCTTCACATTCTCACGGAGTCTGAGCTTTCTACGACGCATAGTTCATTTATCCGGGCCGCAAAACACGGTTCTCTTTTCTCTGAAACTCCCTGTATATACAGGGGAATATTTTTGATCCGAAACAGATTTTTCAAAAAGAAGTCTTTCTACGTGAATGCCGTCTCCATTGTGTTATGTTTCTTGAGCTCGGCGGACATTCGAGGGTCCAATAACCGTCACACTCTGAAGACTAATTAACTAAAATTCGGTCATTAACTTTTTAATTGTTGGTCTTATGGGCCATGTTGCAATTGTAATTTTGAAGACAGCCACCCTGGAAGGCTAGGACATCTTACACGATTAAAAGAAAAAAAGCAATTGGTTCGCAGATATCTGTCGACAATTTCTCCCCTTTCTGTCCCCATGATTCCGAAACTGCAAATTCCAAGCGCGCCGGAAGCGCTGGCCACACGACGCTCGTAGAAGTGACGGTCTCGGGTTTCGTGAATTACAAGTCGTCGTGATCAGTGATGATCTCATATGTGCGCTGCAGCTGTCAGGGTGCGGCTCGGGCTATGCTAACTCGCTGGGACAGTCCTTAGCACGCTCGCTTTTAATGGTGAATTTTAGTAGATTGTTCCGATAACGATACTCTGCCGCCGCCTTTAACTCCCTACTAAAACTAGCTTCACTCACGATTGTTTGTCGGAGGGGGAGGCGCTTTGCCAGATAGCGTATACGCACCACACTCTAAAAAGAGAAAGTGCCGATTTAACTCTTTTTGGAGTGCTAGTGGCTTGTCACGGAATCCCCTCTTTTAAAGAGTAACTATAACTCTTCGAAGGTTCAACTCTCTCATACAAGTGTTCACTTAACTCTTTTATAGGGAGTCACGCCAATACTTTTGGGAGAGTCAGGGCTACTCTTTTTATGTGTAAGTGTGAGAGTTAATTTCACTCCTTTGGGTAGAGTAACTATATAACTCCATGAGAAGTGTTGCCTAAACTCTTTGATGAGAGTTATTTTCACTCCTTTGTGTAGAGCGACTATAACTCTATCAGAAGTGTTGCCTAAGCGCCTTGTTGACCAGTAAAGGATGCTCTCCAGGGAGAGTTACCTTCAATCCTTCCTGTAGAGTGACTACAACTCTATTAGAATGTTGCCTGAACTCTGTATTGAAGAGTTACGCGTACTCGCCAGGAAGTGTTACCTTCACTCCAGTGTAGAGCAGTAGTTCTCAAATCAGGGTCCGCGAAGGCATTCTAAGGGTCCGCGAAGCCCTGCCTTACCAGTAAACCCCCACAACAAAAAATGTATTTTTTCAGATCGAGAAGAAATGTATCACTTTTCGGGCGAAATTTCTCGTGTGTATGTCGATGAGAGAACTCTTCTTCCACACTAGCTCTTAGTTGTATCAATTTATTAAATTATTATTATATTTCACTAATACCTTTCCCCTCCCTTGACCACGAACGGAGTCCTCCATCATCTCCGCCGATCCACAAGGGGTCCGCGAAACATCGAGGGTTGAGAACCACTGGTACAACAACTCCATTAGAAGAGTTGCCTAAACTCTGTATGCAAGAGTTAAATATGCTCTCAAGGAAGGGTTGAATTCACATGTTTGTGGAGAGTAACTAAAACTCTATTAGAAGTGTTGCCTGAACTCTGCAGCGTGCATAAAAGAGTCAAGCACGCTCTCCAGGAAGAGTTGTTATAACTTTTTTTGTGAAGAGTAAATACGACTCCATTAGAAGTGTTGCCTACACTCCGTATTAAAGAGTTAACTATGCTTTCTAGCAAGTCTCACATAACAGCATGCTTGGGGAGTTTGTTTGACCCCTTCTTGGAGAGTACTTAAAGGGGTACTCCACCGTTTTTTTCATTGTCTCCGATTTGCTTGAAATTTTGCTAAACTAACCAACAAACATTGCTAAAATAGTATCCCAAATATTAGGTCAAAATATTGTTTTTTTCGCGAAGTTATTGAATTTACAGTTTTGGTCTTCACCATGTTTTTCAAACTGAAAGTCTCTACTGGCAACAACAACAAAGTGACGTCAGTGGAAGGCAGGGGTTAACTTTTTGGACTACAGAAGTTGTTCCCAACGGATTTGAAGCAGTTTCTTGGTGTCAAATGAATGCTTTGGAAGCTCGCTCCCGTATCCGCGCTCCAGCACGGAACAAATGATTGGCATATTCTATTTTTAGACTACTTGCTCGACTGGCAAGCCTGCCTGCCACTGACGTCACGGCACTGAAAAGTGCGCGAATATTTGAATGTTGGTTTTTGCACCATTTTCATTTGCCGATTTCACAATACCTATTATCAATTTCGCGATGCTAAATAGCATACCGGAAAGGCTAAAGGCCGGGGAGTCAGAAAATATAGTTAGTTGAGCTAGCTCAAAAAATCGGTGGAGTACCCTTTAACTTTTTAATACAGAGTTTAGGCAACACTTGGAATGGTGCTGTAATTGCTCTGTCTGTAGAAAGAATTGTGTACAGTAAGTACAGCCCCATCTGAAGTGTTGCCTAAACTCTGTATACACCAACTCATGTTTACAAACAAACCGGAGCGCCCCTAGCGGACGCCACCGGCGCCGCGCATGCGCGGTGGATGGTGGGCAAGAAGCCCGCCGTCGCCCATAAACAAACCATTGAATTGCGTTGTTGTCGGCGTCGGTGCGAGTCCCCGTGCTCTTTTTCGCGTTGGAATTGTTGATTCTACGTCCTCCTAACAATGTCTGACTACTTGAGCGGCTTCAGAAAAACTAACGAGGCAAAACTTTGCGTGAATAATGTGACGTGCGGCGATTCATTTCGCGTGGACGCCGCAGAATGGGCGCTAAAGCCTGACTCCCTCGATGAGATTCTGCTCGCTATTTTCAGTCGCGACGTCGCTCGGACTGCAAAAGCGTGGACCGTAGCTGAGATGGTGGACGTCGATACTGAAAACCGCAAGTAGAATCGGGCATTACAAGTCGGTGATGGCCACTGGTAACAATGATCAACATCTTCTTGTATCTGTTTACACTTAGCCTACTTACCCCAACCAACCTTCAAAAGTGTTTTGAGGCCTGCACATAGTTCTTATCTCAATTACCGGATCAACGTTTGGTTTACGGGCCGCTGTCGTTTGAACGAGCTGACGACAAAAAGCAGCCAAACTTGAAAGAGCAGACGACAGTTCGACCGGATGCGCAATGGAGTGCGGGCAAGAAGCACCGCGTCCCGCGTCAACAAACCATTGGAATGTCACGTTGTCGGCGTCTGTGTGAGTCTGCATACTCTTTTTCGCGTTGGAATTGTCG